AAAACACACACACACACACACACACACACACACACACACACACACAATCTCTGCACAGTTTACTGAAACGGAAGGGTTTGCCCAACCCTGAAAACGTGGTGTCTCGCAGAAAAAACAGTACAGAGGGACCGGGGATTTAGCTCAGTGGTTCCGCCCCCTGCCTCATAAACCCAAGGTCCCAAGTTGATCCCCGGTACCCCCCCCAAAAAAAAGCTGTAGTAGTGACGAAGATATTAGTACCACTGATGTTTTGGCACCAGCCTTTTGCGTGAATTAATCTACAAACAATCCTATGCAAAAATGCTATTATCCCTATTTTACAGTTAAGGGAGCCCCTTAGGTGGACGGGTTTCAGACACTTTGAAAAGTTCTTTAAAGAACTTTGCCCTACGCTTGCTAGAAACAGGTCTTCTGATTAGAATAAAGCTACTCCACGTCGCCGTTTAATATGTTAGTAACGTTTACTCTAGGTTGCTTCATTGGTGTTCTGCCATATTCGAATGAGATTCAATAAAAATTGCCCTAGTTCAGATACTCATTTTTGGAAATAATCTTGTTCCCTCATCTTTTCCAACAGGTATTTGTCCATTCTTTTTTTTTTAACCTCCCTAAAAAGAAACCTTCATTTTCATCAAACCTCTGTTACTTGTTTTCAAGACTTTGCCATTCTGACCGCATGTAGTCTTCCTTGCTTTAGCTGAGAAGAAACTCCTCACTTTCTCACTTGGATACCAAATTCGTCCCACCATCAAATTGCTGATGTGGGTATCCCAGACCCTCCCTCATCTGACTTCCAGTAAACTCCCATCACTTTGTCTCAATGATTAAACCAATCTCACTCGCTATGCCCCAAATTCCTAAGTACTCACCTCCAAAGCCATGGCTTCCTCCTATCTGGGGTGTCTTCATTTGTTAATCAACCATCTCTCTCCATAAAGTTTTCCCAACAAAGATATGTTCCCCAAAGATCTCTTCATGTCCTTTTTAGCACTTACTGTATTTTAATTTGTTTTCTTTTCAGTTTCTTTGCAGGAATCCTATGATATATGCTTCTTGGTTTTAGGGTAATGATAACTGCATAATAGTGTCACAATGAATGCTGGTCAAATTCAATGGTTAGCAGGATTTTAAAATTTGCTTTCAAATGCTTTCATTTCTGGTTGCTGATGAATTCCATGCTGCGTGAAAAATACAGGCAAATAATTTAAAGATTAAATACAAACTAAAACAAAAAATACAAGTGAGAGCAATAGTGCTAAATTAGTCAATAAGCATTAAGGCTGCTTTGTGAATGCATAAGCAAAGCAAGAAATAAAAGATATAGTATAAAAGGCCCTCAATTTAATGGTATCAACAAAGTACTTAAATAGGTGAATTGATAATGTTGAGAAGTGCTATATCATAAAGGAATTTTTTTTTTTTTTGTACTGGAGATCTAACTGAGGACCTTGCCCTTGCAAGGCAGGCGGCAGCACTGCTGAGCTAAATCCAAGGCCCAATAATGGATATTTTAATAAGACCTCACATATATAAAAACAAATAATTCTCCTTAATTGAGCATCTTTCTTTCTTTTTTTTTTTTTTTTTTGTCGTTGTTTTGATACAAGGTCTTGCTACATATTTCAGGCTAGCCTCGAACTCCCTGTGATCTTCCTGCCTCTCAGAATTCTACGTGCTGGGATTATAGGCATGCACCACCATGCCTGGAATGTGCACTGCTCTCAAGAAAACATGAACTTCATACAGTAAATAGACTTGTTATTTATAGGAGAGGGTTATAGGTGTTTTTTAAATAAGAAAGGTAAGGAGTTGGGGGTGGAGTTGGTCTAAAAATCAAAACAAAGCATGTGGGGCTTAGAAAAGTTTCGAGAAAGAGAGAAAGAGAGAGAGAGAGAGAGAGAGAGAGAGAGAGAGAGAGAGAGGGAGGGCTGGGGATTTAGCTCAGTGGTTCTGCCACCTGCCTTGCAAGCCAAGGTCCTGAGTTCGATCCCAGTACCAAAAAACAAAAAAAAAGAGAGAGATTCTGAAACTAATAATTGATCTCCGTATTTAGTCAGTTTCTCTGAAAGCACGAATGAAGCATAAACTAATGTGTGAAAAACAAAACTGCAGTATAGCATCTGGTCTGGAGAAGTTCACCAGTGGACAAAGATAAATAACTGTTACACTTCAGTGAGATAAGTACTGTAATAGAAGGTTTGCAAAGTGACTCGGAAACAGAGGAAATTAAACAATGACATCTTAAGAGGAAGGATTCATCATAGAACTAATATTACAGTTAGTTTACAAAGACTCAAAATGGGTATAGTGGCACACACCTGCCATCCCAGCACTCAGGAAGCTGAGGCAGGAGGATCACTAATGATGAGTTTGAGGCCAGCCTGCACTACAAGGTGAGATCCTGTCTCAAAAAAAAAAAAAAAAAATCCCAAAGACTCAACAGAGAAAGTTTTTGTAAAAATATTGTTATACATTCACAATTTGTATAAAATTTGAAAGCTATAAAATGATGCCACGTGAAAGCTAACAGAGTATATTATTTATGAATACATATAACCACAGTAAAGCTATTAAAATAGACTAGGGACAAATACTTCAAAGTTGTGATTGTCATTGTTTCTGGAATGGGACAGGGAGGAAGAGATGGGGGGAGGGAACCACAAAGGCAGTGTCAATTTCGTCTCTAATGTTTCTTTTATGGAGCAAAATTAAAAGAGAAAAAAACCTAATGAAAAAACTAACAAGTTATTTGAAGAAAATGTGGCAAAATGTTAATATTTGTTCATTCTAGATGAGCACATAGCTGTTTGTTAAACAGTAGCACTTTCTGTACTTTTTGTTTCGTTTCTTAAAATAGGGTCTCTCTATGTAGCCCAGGCTGTCTTCAAACTCATAGTAATCCTCCTGCCTCAGTCTCCCAAGTTATGAGATTATCGGTATGGGCCACCACACTCAGATTTTTTATTTTTTTAAAGTTAAAAAACAACAGAACCATCCTGTTCTTTAATTGCTCCTTCTCTTAAATCTTTCTACTGCCTCTGCAATGAAAGGAGCTGCCCAAAGCACTCCTTAGGTAGAGAGAGATTTCTAACATTTCTTTAAAATTTTTGAGCCAGTATGAAATTTCAAAGCCTTCTTCCATCAGGTTTCTTTTATTTAAAAAATGAGTGAATATATCACTTCTCAGCCTTTTGGCTAAGATCAAGTGTAAAAATGAGTAAATAGGTAGTGCAGATAGTATAATATTCATCTAAATATCTCATAGGTTACTACGTATCTAGGAAGAGTTAAGGGACAGCTTAACATTTTAACATTACAGGCCTTAAAATATTTAAGAAAACCCTAGAAAGAGCAATCAAGAGTTACATTTGATACACTGGATCCTGCATTGTACATCTATATTTTGAGTTCACTTAAGCAGGGCTATGTCTTCTATTTCTTTTAACATTCCTGTTGTCTATTCTTTCCTACTTTTCCTCCCCTGCACCCTTCTACCATCATGGCATATAGAATATCTACTTCTCTTCATATATTAAGCACTCTTGAAATGTTTGAGTCGCCGGGCATGGTGGCGCACACCTGTAATCCCAGCACTCAGGAGGCTGAGGCAGGAGGATCACTGTGAGTTCAAGACCAGCCTGGGCTACACAGTGAGTTCCACGTCAGACTCCACTACATAGTGAGACCCTGTCTCAAAAAAAAAAAACAAAAACAAAAACAAAAACAAAAAAAAAGAAAAAGAAATGTTTGAGTCAATGAAAACATCACAGTGGATCTGTTATGACATCACCAGGACTAGAACACCATGGTCAGCAAGTACGGTAACAGACTAAGACACAACCTCTGGAAGCAGCCTTCTAGCTTCCTAGTAGACCTTTTGATAGTATTTGCCTATGTTCTGTGAAAAAGAAGCAAAAGAAAATCACGGAAAATGTTTGCCAAAAAGCCAAATGAGATAGGCAGTGGCTCTGAATCAGAAAAAGAGGCTGAGAATTCCAACATCACAGGAAGATGGTCCAGACCTGACCTTCCGGTGGTCCCTAAGCTTGAAACCCCATCCTCAGTCCAGGCAGTCATCTCTAGGATTGAGCAAGCACAGCTCCTTCGAGCCAGAGAGGTAGGTCACGAATCGGAAGTTTACCAGTTGCCAGGCTTGGTTTGGTTTTTGAGACAAGGTCTCACACTGAGTTCAGGCTGGCCTTGAACTCGCTGTGAGGCCCAGACGAGCCTGGACCGAACTGCCAGCGATACTCTTGCCTCAGCCTCAGTTCGGCTGGAATTATGCGTGTGCACCACCATGCCTGGCTCTAGTTTTTGGGTTTTTTTTTTAACCTTTCTTTTGCTTTAGAACTCATGTTATGTTCGTGTTATTTAGCTGTATTTGAAATAATTTTGAATTCAAATGACAGTTTCACCTCACTGTGGATAATGAACTCCAACTTGATATTAATATCTTCATATCAGAATTAAACCATTTAAGAAGTAAATCAGCTGGGTGTGCTGGTTCATGCCTATCATCCCACACTCAATAGAAGAATCTTAAATTCAAGTCCAGTAGGGCACATAGGAAGTTCAAAGGTGGCCTACACTACGTAATGAAACCTTGCTTCAAAAGCCAAAAACCAAAAAAAAAAAAAAAAAGAAAAATACTGGCACAGTATTGGTATTACTCCAACAGCAATAACAGTGTTTTTTGCTTTTAATAGCTTTACTGAGGTACCTGACATGCACTAAACACATTTTTTTGTTTTGTTTTGTTTTGTTTTTGTACCAGAGATTGAACTCAGGTCTTTGTGCTTATGAGACAGGCGGTGTAGCCACTGAGCTAAATCCCTAGCCCTAAACACATTTTTTAGGAGACTATACTGTACTGGTACAGGCTCCCTAGGATAGATGTTAACATTAGGTATATCTAAATATATCAATAAATGCTTTGCTAAAAAAGAATATGAAATAGACAAATATATATATATATATGTGTGTGTATGTATGTATGTATATACAGACACACACACACACAAGTGTTTCTGTTTTCATTTTTTAAGGGTTTTTTTGAGGGGAGTCTTTTTTCTTTTTTGGTACTGGGAACTAAACTCAGGGCCTTTGAGCTTGCCAGGCAGGTGCTCTGCTGCTGAACTACATCCCTGGCTATACAAGTTTTAAATGCACAAATACCCATAAATCCTTCACCACAATCAATATCATGAATTTACCCATCACCCCCCTAAATTTATTCTTGCCTGTCTATAATCGTCCCATGTCCTTCTTTGCTACCCATACGAATTCCCAGGGAACCACCAATCTGCTTTCTGTCACTATAGGTTTACATTTTTAAGAATTTTATATAAGTGAGGTTAGATGTGATGGCACACGCCTCTAATCCCAGCGCTCTGAGAGGCTGAGGCAGGAAGAAGACAAATTCAAACCCAGCCTAGGCAATGTGGTGACCCTATCTAAAAAAAACGGGGCTGGATGCTGGGCATGGTAGCCCTCGCCTGTAATCCCAGCACTGGCGAGGCTGAGGCAAGAGAATCCAGGAGTTTGAGGCCAGCCTGGGTTACATAGTGAATTCAAGGCCAGCCTGGACTACAGAGCAAGACCCTGTCTCTAAATAAATAAATAAAAATAAATAAATAAAGGGGCTGGAGATCTAGTTCAGTCTAAAGGCCCTGGGTTCATTCTCCAGTACTGCAAAAAAAAAAAAAAAAAAAAAAAAAAAAAAAAACCAAAACCAAAACCAAAACCAAAACCAAAAAACCCAAACAACAACAAAAAAAGAATTTTATATAAGTGGAAGTGTACTTTCTGGTTTCTTTCACTTAGCATTATTTTGAAATTTACCCACATTCTTAAATGTATGAATAGTTCATTTCTTTTTATTGCTGCGTCTTTTTCCATGACATGTCTTTTGAGCTATTTCTAGTTTTGGGCTATTACAAATAAGGTTGCTCTGGACATTGTGTACAAGTCACTATATGGACATATGCTTTCGTTTCTCTTGGATAAATACTTAGGTTTGGGCCAAATCACTTGGTAGGTAAATTTTCCGTTTTTTGGTGGTACTGTGGATTGAACCCAGGACCTTGCATGGGTACTCTATCACTGAGCTACATCTCCAGCAATTTTTTTTTCTTTGAGGTACTGAGAATTGAACCCAGTGCTTTCACACTGATCTACACCCCCAGCCTTTTTTAAGTTTTTATTCAAGACAAGATATTGTTAAATCCAGCCAGGTGTGGTGGCACATGCCTGTAATCCCAACACTTGGGAGGCTGAGGCAGGAGGATCGCTGTGAGTTCAAGACCAGCCTGGGGTACATAGTGAGTTCCAAGTCAGCTTCAACTAGTGAGACCCTGTCTCAAAAAAAAAAAAAAAGAAAAAGAATAATAAGAAAGAAAAAAGTAAAAATGAGCTGGTAGTGACACACACTTGTAATCTCATCACTCTAGGAGGGTAAGGCAAGAAGATTACAAGTTCTATTCCAGCCTGGGCAATGGAGGGAATATCTTTTTGTTTTCTTTTTCTTTCTTTCTTTTTTTTTTTTTTTTTTTTTTTTTTTTTTTTTTTTTTTTTTTTTGGTACCAGGGCTCAAACTAGGGTCCTTGCACTTGTGAGGCTGATGGTGGAACCACTGAGCCAAATCCCTGGCTCTTATTTTTACTTTTGAGACAAGAGTCTTGCTATGTAGTTCAGGTTGGCTTCAAACTTTCGATCCTCATCTCTCCGCTTCCTGAGTAGCCTGGATTACAGGCACGTGCCACCAGGCCTGGTTACTGTTTTAGGGGTTTATGTTGTTTTTATGGAAATGGGGATCAAACCAAAGGGATTCTACCACTGAGCTATATCAGAACTGCCCCAGCTGGGCATGGTGGCTCACACCTGTAATCCCAGCACTCGGGA